ATATGCAGTGAACAAAGAGCTTATTCTTTGTCTTGCTCACTGTGGGGCAAGACAAAGAATAAACAAGAAAAATAAGTAAAATATGCTGTGTGTGAAATAGGAATGAGTGATACTCAGAAAAATAAATCAGGAACAAAGGTATGAAGTATTAAGTAGGGACAGCAATTCTAGATATGGTGGCCAGGGGAAGCCTCATTGAACAGGTATCATTTAAAGAAAGACCTGAAGAAGGTGAGTCATGGGAATGCCTGAGGGGAAGCATTCCAGACAGAAGAGATGTAGTGCAAAAGCCCAAGGTAAGAGAGGGTTCAAGGAACAGCTAAGAGGCTGCCTAGCTGGAGCAGGAGAGAGGACAGTATAAGACAAGGTCAGGAATTCAAGGGGGCTGGGTCATGTAAGGCTTTAGGGGCCACTGTAAGGATTTTGGCATTTACTATTAGGGAAATGGAAATTTAATGAGGGATTTGAGAAGAGGAGGAGCATAATCAGATCCATTTTAAGTAGGATCACCAGCTGTGTGTTGAGAGGGAAGCCAGGAAATGGGTAAGAGACACCTGAAATGACAAAGGCAAAAGAAGGATGTAGGACCCGGATGGAAGCAGTGGAGGTGGTGAGCCTTGGTAGTGTTCTACATATTCCTTGCTGAAGGACTGGATGGAGAAGGAATAAAAAAGGTATCAAGGATGAATGAGGGTTTTGTTTCCAATCTTCACTAAGCATTGATGACCCAAATCTGTGCTTCCAGCCCAGACTCCAGTCCTGGGGCCTGATACACAGCAGGCGACTGACATTAATATCTGACGGACTGAACTGAAAAAGTAGATGAATCTGTTGGATTGGTGGCACCGCTTTTCCAGGCCATGGCATAGCCTACTTCCAGATAGTAGAAAGAAGTGCAGAGAAAGAGCTGCCATGTCCCCACCTCGGTCTAAAGTGAGAAGTAGAGATGGGGCAGAAAGAGAAAAAGGACCACACCTGACCCTTCCAATAGGATAATCAAGAACAAGTAAGGGGGATATAAAAGGAAAAAAAATGCCAAGAACGGCGGGCATAGTGTTGGGTTTGTGATATCAAAGAGACTTGGTGCCAATCCCAGCTGCGCCTCTTGACTGAATCACTTCCCTTCACTGGTTCCAGTTTTCTATCTTGGAATGGGGTGGCTGGTTTTCTGAAAAGAGTCTGTCCAGCTCTAACCATCTAGTGCTCCAATCCTTTTCTTACAAGTCCCTGTCTCTTCTAGCCGTTTGACACACTGCTTCTCCAACATCATCCTTAGGGAACTTTTCTACTTCCTTTCAGAATGATTATTTCTGACTGAGTCTTGTAAGGTGTGTCCCTACTAGTTCCCAAAGGAAAACACTTGCATGTTTTCCTTTCGCCTGCTTGAAATAAATACTACCTTAGGCTAGTTACTCCATATATAAACTGGGAATAACACTAGATTGTAGGGATACTGAGTAGGATTAATTATATACAGAACGTGTAGGGGTTGAGCAGATACACAAGTTTTTGGCATAATACTATAGCATTACAATAATTTTGGCTTGCAAATTATACCCTAGCAGAGGCATCACATGAAAAAGTTTGTCTGACCCCATGGCCTGCTGAAAGTGAAATGGAAAAAACAAGTTGTGAAATATAACTTACCTTTCTCAACTTTTTGAAAAAGGCAGAGATAACTCTTCTATGTGCAACCTACATGCAGGGAACAAGTTTCTAGATCCCGGAGAAGAATTTTTTGCCCAGGGTGGCCTGGCCTGTTGCCAGGATCTGGCTGTGTTCCTCCTTCCTGAACCTAAAAAGCAGAGCTGGGAAGGAAGGAAGGAGAGGATCTGCGGTTGGTTGAAAGGTGAGGCTTGCAATGAAGATGTCCTTGCCTTTCAGGTTTTCTATTTGTGCCTCCCTCATTTGTGGGATAATTAAGTGCTTATACAGTAGAGGAATTATTTAATGGGTAATTTGAGATATTTAAGTCTAGGGATACCCAAAATAAACATCTTAGCCAGGTCAACTTCTGGGTCCTCCTACTATCTTCCAGACACACACCACACACACACATGCACACACACATGCGCACACCCCATATCCTAGAATATTTCTTGTAAAATGCTAAATAAGTAGATCTCAGGCAGTGAAGGGGCTGTATAGTTGGTGATGATGTCTGTGACTACGGGGATCATATAGTAGGTCTGTAAAATTTAACTAACTCAGAGAGCATGGCAGTCCTGTCTGCCTAGAGGGAAAGAGCAAATAGCTTGATCCTGAAGGACAATTTGCAGTCAATTCTACTGCATCATTGTGTGTGGCTGAGTGGACAGAGCACAGGCTTCAGAGTAAGACATAAGTTGGAGTCCTGGCTCTGCCACTTACCCACTGTGGCCTCAGGCAGAGGAAAAGGCCACAGCTTTCAGGCCTTCCCTGCCCAAGAGCCTCGGACTAAGAGTTTGATCTCAACCTCCAGTCCTGGCCAAAAGAGCCACTGGCCTTGCTCCCTGCCCTAACAGGTTCCACTTTTCCTCCAAAGCCCATCTATAATATACAGATTGCAAGTGAAGATAATTAATGATTTTGGCTATTGTCCTAATAAATCAGCACTCTCTGAAAATGTCTCAGATCTCAGTTCTTACACCTGAGGGAAAGTTATATTCTGAGACTTGACCAGCCACATGCAGAGGAGCCCTGGTTCCAGTGTCTAGGCAGAGAGCATGCCACCTCCCAGGAAAAGCTTCGTTTTGCAAACTGTGCCCCTCACTTGGCCTGTTTCCTCATTTTTGGTTAATAATCAGAGGATGATCTTAAATTGCAAAGTCGAGACTAGTGGAAATGACATAATTTTTGGTGCTTCCAGACCGGGGAACCGGCATCCAGGCCCACCTGGGTGACCATCCTCTGAGCCTCAGTTTCTCTATCTGTAAAATGAGGGTCCCGGGTTAAATGCAGTTTTGCCAGCTCCGACAATCCTAGGCATTAAACGTTCGTCCCCGCAGCCCCTCTCCGCCAGGTTGGCAGTGAACAGGGTTAAAACCACGACTTCCTCAGAGGTGAAAAGGTGCTCAAACATTCCGACCTCCCCTTAGCTTGCCAATCCGATTGGTGCCTGGCCGGGCCCCTGCCGCCTATCCCGATCGCGTCCGTCATCTGGATTGCTAAAACACTCATTTGCATAAAGATTCCTCCGAAGATATGGCACACGGGGTTGAACCGGAGTCTTCGTCCCTTTAAGAAAAGGAGAGGGACCCTGTCCCTAATGGGTCTCGGCACTGTATTTTCTCCTCGCGGATCACGGAGTACACTAAAAACGTCCCATGTCCCCAACAGTAGGGATCTCTTAGTGGCACACTGAGCGGGTCCCAAGGGAGGGTTTGGCCACCGCGCGCGGCAGGCTCAGGCTGGCAACTTCTCGCCCTAGGAGGCGGCGGGCTGCATGCAAGGTGGGGCCGGCTGCAACGCGGGACCCCGGCGCCCTGAGGCGCGAC